TTCATCCTCGTTTATGTGAGTGTTGTAGAAAGTTTATCCTCATTTCCAGGAAGTTGCAGAAAGTTTATCCTCGTTTCTAGGAGATTGCAGAAAGTTTATCCTCGTTTCCAGGAGATTGCAGAAAGTTTATCCTCGTTTCCAGGAGATTGAAGAAAGTTTATCCTCATTTCCAGGAAGTTGCAGAAAGTTTATCCTCGTTTCTAGGAGATTGCAGAAAGTTTATCCCCGTTTCCAAGAGATTGCAGAAAGTTTATTCTCGTTTTCAGGATATTGAAGGAAGTTTATCCTCGTTTCTATGAGTGTTTTAGGTATGATTGCCCATACTATTTCAAGTGTTGTATTTCTCGTCTTCTGAGAAATCTTCGGTAGGCGGTCATACATTCCACCAGTCATTATTCTCAATTCCATATCATGAGCGCGAGTGGTGAGTTCTTCAAAAGTATGAGGTCGAATCCCTTGTAAGATGTATTTCAAGCCCCCATTGCATTCCTTGAATGCACATTTCTATGCCGGAAGCCTCGGACAGACGGTCTTTACAGTTGAGGCTTAGACTTCTCCAGCAGTTGATGTAGTCGATTACTGGCTCATTTTTCCGTTGGCGGTTGTTGGTAAGTTCGGTCATGCTGACAGTTCTCTGTGTGCTGTAGAACCGATTCAAGAACTCATACTTTAGTTGTTTCCAATTGTCGATGGAACTAACCTCTAAGTCGATGTACCACATCGAAGGTGTTTCCGTTTAGTGACCGCACAAATTGTTTGACTAGGAGGTCTCCATATATTCCAGCATCTTTGCATGTCTCGACAAAGTGTGTTATATGTTGTTTTGGGTTGCTTTTTCCATCAAATTGTTGAAACTTTGGTGGTTGATAGCTCATTGGCATTTTGAAGGCGTCAATTCTTGCAGTGTAAGGCTTGACGTAAGTATACGTCGGCCTTGAACTCCCTTCGAATTCTCTTTTGATTGCCCCCTTGATGTATTTGTCAAGTTGGGATATATGGATGAAGGAGTCGGATGATCCTTGAAATGGATTTGGTTCTGCCATCTTTTCTTTATTATAAAGTTGATATGCGGATGTTTCCGCTTTATTTTGGGCCACCGGGGAAGATGATTGTTTTTCGATGGCATGACTGGATTCTTCAAGCATGTCTAGTTTAGTGAGAAGTTTTTCGATGAGAGCGTCTTGTTGTTGCATGTGTTGAGACATCCCTTCAACGATCTTGGCCAATGATGCAAGTTGATCTTCTATATTTGAAGCGTTGATAGTCATTACCGGAGCAAAGCTTCATGCGGTTGAATGACTTGAAATTGGCCGATGAGTAGGTGGCATGAAAGTGCCTTTGAAGGTTTGAACTTCCTCGCAGAGCAGACTTTGATCCACAATCTTTGGGTCCTCAATATTTGAAGCATTGGTAGTCATCACCGTAGCAGAGTTAGATGCGGTTGAATGAGTTGTAGTTTGTTTAGGGGTGAACAGTGCGGCAGTACTCTTGAAGTTGCCGTCTTCTTTATACAGTGGAATTTTGCTCTATGATTTTTGGAGGAGTGTCTTCAGAGAACAACAATTCTCTTTTGGCCATGTTTTTTGTTGTCATTTAAGCATTCGTTAAAACACGTGAGGGTTGACTTCTTTGGCGGCGCCAGCTTGAGCAGCAGCTTTCGACATAGCGTTGGACGTCTTGATCTTGTAGGAGGCCATTGGTTGTTGAAAGTTCATCGGAAAGAGAGATGAAAGGTAAAGAAGTCCACTGGGCGTGCCAAAAATTTGTGGACAAAAAATTGTGTATTTTTAATAGACACAAATTTGTACAAATTATATTTAATTTGGATTTAAAACGGGTCCTATTCTCTAAATGGGTCATTTGATTCTCTTCCCAGGTCGATTTGTTTTCCAACTTGGTTTTTTATAGCTTCTTTGATCCGAAGAGATTTGATCTTTGGTTTGACTTTGCCAGACTTTGGTCTCCGTACGGGTGATTTGATCATTGACTTTAGATTTGATGTCCTCTTTGGACGATTAGAGGCTTTGATCTTTGGTTTGACTTTGTCGCTTTTGTAAAGCTTTGGTCTCCGTCTGGGCGAATTGATCATCGGCTTTAGATTTAATGTCTTCTTTAGACGATCCGAGACTTTGATCTTTGTTTTGTCTTTATCGCTTTTGGAGGACTTTGGTCTCCGTGTAGGCAATTTGATCATCACCTTTGGATTTGATGTCTTTTTAGGACGATCCGCGGTTTTGATCTTTTACTTGGCTTTGCTGCGTTTTGGAGAGTTTTGGCCTCCGTGTGGGCGATTCGATTGTCGGCTTTGGATTTGATGTCTTCTTTGGATGATCCGTGGTTTTGATATTTGGTTTGCCTTTTCCGTGTGGGCGATTCGATCATCGGCTTTGGATTTGATGTCTTATTTGGAGGATCCGCGGCTTTGATCTTTGATTTGGCTTTGCCGCTTTTGGAGGAATTTGGTCTCCGTGTTCGCGATTTGATCATCGGATTTGGATTTGATGTCTTCTTTAGATGATCCGAGGCTTTGATATTTGGTTTGGCTTTGCCGGCTTTTGGAGAGCTATGGTGTCCGTGTGGGCAATTTGATCTTCAACTTTGGATTTGATGTCTTCTTTAGACGATTTGCGACTTCGATCTTTGAGGGGGTGGATTTGGTGTTCCATAACTCTTTTGGCGGCGTATTCCTTTGACTGTTGGATCAAAGAGGGCCTGGCTGATGCTTTTGACGAAGAACGCGACGAACACCTTGAAGCTTTGAGATGAAGTTGGGAGGCTCTTCCTTGGCTTTGATGAATTCCTCAACGATTTTGGGAGCTTTGATCCTTCCTTCGGCTTGGGCATACGACGAAGAACGTTAACTCCATCGATTCGTTAACCAATATTAGATTATTTCTTCAAATCAGTGACTTACGACGATGAACGCTTTGAAGGACACGAAGAACATGGAGAACAATAAATAGAGAGTTTAGAGACTTACCCCTTTGTTTGAATCATCAATGTAACTTCGGTGTGTCAAATGAATTGGCCATGACTCCTATTTATAGTGAAGGTGTGGCCTCGGCTTCCTTTTAGAATGATGCCACGTGGCGTGGCCAATAAGAAGATTTTATAATCTTTCTTTTTCTATCCGATGTTTTCCATTCGTGACGGATTTTATTGTGCACATTCCTTTCTCGCCAAAATCTTTATATCATTGCATTTTCCTGGAAGATATTAATTTATATACTTCCTTTATTGAAAAAAGTTATTTATTTTGTTGCCAAATGTATTATGGCTCTATTTTTGCACATAATATTTGTACGATATCTTTCATTTTAAATAGATTTTTGCATTAATGGTTGATATTTATTGTACAAAAATTAATATGTGCATAATTAAATACCATATATTTATTTTATTGGAATTTTATTTTCTTTCAAAATAAATGATATTTAATTTAATTTAGATATTTAATTTTTAATACCTACATTAATTAACATGATTAGTGCCTATATTTTGTATATTTGCATATGTACCATGTAATATCAAAGAAAGGCAACATCCTAATAAAATACAGGTGTTTTGAATGTTTTGGGCTATTTTGTGAGCAGTGATTTGAAATGGAAAATAGGTTTTGGATGTGAATTGTGATTTTTTAATAGAAATAGGTGTTGGATCTGATGTTTCTGATACAAAGTAGGTTTTTGATATAATATCTTAAATGAATACGTGTTACATGTTATGATTTTAGAGAGAAAAGGGTGTGTTTGTTTGGGGGTTTGGACTTTGAGTTGGAATTTAAATAGTAAAAAATTTTAAATTTGAATAGTTGTATGATGTGATATAAATAGGTGTTGATGTGATGTTTTGAATGTAAAATTAAATTTTAGTATAATATAAAAAATGAAAAATAGGTATTTGATTTAATTTTTTGGGGGAAAAAATGGGATGAATAGTGTATTTAAAATCCAATCTCCCAAACAAACACACCCCTATTATTTGCATAGTACAAGAATACTTTTGACAACACAACAAAGCACACCCTTAATCTCACATTATTTGAGGCATCTCATTTACTCGAGCTTGCATAGAAATTAGTTTTTTACTACATACCGCACATATAAAATAGCTTTACTACACAACTCGCATATCTGAACATCTTGCAGAGTTGATCTTAAGCTAAATTCCCCATGAAGGTCTAAGCTGAAACTGCATATTTATTGGCTTCCTTGCATAACATGGGCCCTTGTATAGCTGTGGGGGTTAACATGCCTTGGCTGATCTTAATAACTTATGTGAATTCAGGTTTCTTTCCTAGCTCGCAGAACTTTACTTTAGATAGTTGTCTCCCCCTATCCCGCTTCACACAGTTTGCGTATCCCAACTTGTATAAAATGGACACCTTAACATAAATTGGGATGTGTCTTTTGCATCTGCATATCCTGTACTTGTATATGAGTCTATACAGCTTGGACCTCCATAACCTCACCTGGCCTAACCTGGATCCTGTAACATGAACATGCACATCCTCCCAATGCCAAATCCAAGCATCATTTACACTGAAAAAAATTTCATACTACCTTATCTGGAAATCTTTCCAGCAGCCACCATACACACTCTGCCGCAGACCTCAAGGTCCTATCCTAGCAACCCATCCAGCCAACTTTTCTAGTGGCTGTTTCAGGGACTTTTCCAGCAAGTTCTTTAGTTAATTTCCTATAAAGCTTACTTATTCCAATACAATATATTCCATTTTATATTTTAATAATTTTTAGTTTACGCATTTATAGATATTCTAGGCATGATATATGAGTTGGTACACATTTTACATGCCTTTATATTTTCTTTACTAGAACCACCATCTGATTTTTTTATCATCAAAGCATTTTCCATGACCAACGATGTTGCTTATTTGCATGAACTGGTAGGTGTATCCATTTCACTTCACACCATTTTATTACCTCATTTGTTTATCATATAGTCACTGCTGGATTCATCTTTATATTTTTATGTGACAGGCCAAGTTCATATACACAAATAAGTTCACCACTCAAGAATTGCAGAGAATTAAGCTCACAATTCAAAGGAACATCATTAGATATCTATCCATATTACTCAACAGGTTGGATTGTCTTCAAGATACGGCTCCATTAAAGAAAGAATTTATTTGTCTTGCTTCTGGCAGGTCTATTCCAGGTATTTATTGTTGTTGAGTAATTTCTTTTCACTGAAGTTGTTAGATTTGATAGATTCATATTCATATCTATATCCATATCCATCATATCATATCATATCTATGATTTAGTTAGATTTAGTTTGTTAGAATAGATTTCTAAATACTCTCTATATATATATCTATTAAGCCTAATGTGTCATTATACCATTTACCTCTCCGTATATTTGGCTTTACGTGCTTTGTTCATGACCATTCTTCAGGTTTGGACAAATTACGTTCTCGATCAACCAAATGTATTTTTCTTGGGTACTTTTGGGTTCAAAAAGGATATGGATGTTATTCTCTTTTTACTCGTTGATATTACCTTAGTGCAGATGTCACGTTCTTTCAATCATCACCATACTTCACAATGTCATAAGCTCCATTCTCAATACCTCTGACTCATATTCCAATGGCCTCATCTTCAAGCCTCCACTTCAGGTCTATTGTCGGTATACATGGCAACGTTAAGATGTACCTACTTCACCATTATCTGCGCCCATTGATGATTCATCTCCGGTTCCATTATCTTCATCAGTTGCAATTCCACCGTCACCTATCATTCTACGTCGAAGTACTCGGTCCACTCGTAATCCTAACCCTAACTATAATTTTCTTAGTTTTCACCGTTTATCTCATTTTATATGTAGTGTTGTGATTGTTTTAGACTCTATCTTTGTCCTTGCTCTTGGCGTAAGGCTTTGGGTCATTCGGGGTGGTATCAGGCAATGGTGGAGGAAATGTCTGCTTTGCATGCTAACAATACTTGGGAGTTGATTCCATTGCCACCAGGAAAAAACCCGTAGTTTGCCGATGGGATTATGCGGACAAGGTTTGCCCTGATGGTCACATTGATCGACTCAAAGCTCGACTTGTAGCAAAGGGCTTTACTCAAGTATATGGAAGGAATATGTGGAAACTTTTCTCCAGTTGTCAACATGTCTTCTGTTCGTATTTTTTTTTTCTAATGGCAACAATGTGTGGTTGGCTCTTCATCAACTTGATATTAAAAGTTTATTTTTGCATGGTCTTCAAGAAGAGGTTTTCTTTAAGCATACTTTAGAACGACGATGTGTTTACTTAATTGTCTATGTTGATGACACTATCATCGTTGGAGATTATATAGATGGTATTGCAAGGTTGAAGGAGCATCTACACAAATATTTTTAAACCAAAGACTTGGGACCATTACGGTATTTCTTAGGAATTGAGATTGCCCAATAAAAGAATGGCATTATCCTATCTCAGAGAAAGTATGTTCTTGATATGTTGGGATAAACATGTATTAATGAATGTAAGGTTATGGATTCCCCTATGGATTCATATACAAAGTTGCTTCCTGGACAGGAGGAGCCATTGCCTGATGCTGATGGTGGACGATGTAGAAAGCTCGTTGGAAAGCTAATTACCTCACTATCACCCAATGATAAATTGAAATTTTGTTGATTTATAACAGGGAATTTATTACGAGTTTATTGAGTGAAGTGTGTATTATTGGGCATGTGCAGATATATAAAAGAAATGAAGTTGTAGACCCTGAATCGCATTATCACAATTATTTACTCTTTTTACTCATAAGTTTCTAGGTCGAACACAGGGATTTTAAGTCACGAAATTAAATCAAGAATTTGTATAAGTAAGGCGCAATGGAAAAGCAGTTAAGCTGGCCCGCTTATAAAGGTGCTCGGGTGGTGAGATATTCAGCGAAAGCAGTGTGCGAGCGATGGAAACAGTGAGAGCGGTGGTGAACAAGGGCGAGCGGGTGGAAGGGAAACGGGCTATTTTATATAAAATCGTCATTAGGCGAGCGATAGGGGGACCAGGTAATGCTGTGTGTGATTTGTATGTTTTAGATGGTTAGAATTTCATGGATGTAATGAGCAAGTGATAATAGTGAGTAAGCGAAACATATATTTATAATACGTAGTGATAGAAGAAGTAGTTGCGCAGAATAGTTAACATAGAAACTGAATTTGCTGGTACTTGACCTTGGATTTACAACAAGACTTCAATTACACTTAGAATCAGAACATTATAAGCAAGAAATGCTATTGTCACTAGACATTTCTATGACCCAATAGACAAGTTCCTATGCCCATTAATTATCCTAATCTTTGTCTCATTAGTGGTTTTACCCTTCTGTTACCTCACTTTAATCGTAATCGAATTCAAAACAGCAGCTAAGCAGGTCGACAAGGCTCCCGTGTATTTAACTACATTGTACTACCTAAATTCTGTTAATGAATACAACGCGAATCTAGGCTTATATAATCGATTCGTCTCTGTTCTTTCCCAGTGAAACATAATTCTAATCCTAACATTTTGACACAAATATGAAGTGAGGATGAAGGTGAATATGAAGAACTTGTTAGGATTAACTCTCACACGCACACAATAAGAAAGTAGAACACAAAGGATTACGTGGTTCGGCCGACAAGGGTTATCGACTTACGTCTACGGGGGCAACCAAGAAGCTTTTCTTATTACTGCAATATGAGACAACTCTTATTTTACAAGTACAAGAGGGGGTATTTATAGACTAGGTTTAGGGTCAATAACAATTGGGCCCAAACTCTTAAGCCCATTAGGGTTAAATACCTAAAGAAGCCTACACTTAACAATCTCCCACTTGAAGGCTTCGAAACCTCTGCGCTCCATTGTACTTCTGTAAAATCCTCATTTTCACTTGATTGCCCCGGTTTTCTCATCATTTCTTATGAAGACCAACTGAAGTCATGCATAACTTCAGCTTGTCCAACGTCAGTCTTTGTGAACATATTTGTTGGATTCATAGCACCTGAGATGTTTTTCAACTTCATCGTCCCTTCACTTATCAATCCTCTGATAAAGTGATATCGCATCCCAATATGTTTCGTTTTTCCATGATAGACCGGGTTCTTGACAAGTTTGACTGCACTCTCATTGTCAGTGTAATGAATAATCCGTCTGCCTTTTATCCGACTTTAGGAGAAAATTCTTTAGCCAAACTAACTCTTTACTGGCCTCAGCAACTGCCATATACTCAGCTTCTGTCATCGAAAGCGCCACACTTTTCTGAAGTTTAGACATCCAGCTAACTGTAGTAGATGTACCCAGTAGTGCATAAGTGCTTCTTTGCATCCAGCCAAATCAGCATCAAAATACCCTATGAGAATCGCATCTTTGCATTTGAAATGTAACTCTATCTTGGAAGTATCCTTCAAATACCTTAGTATCCACTTGAAGGCTTCCCAATGTTCTCTCCCCGGATTTGACATGTAGCGACTAACAACCCCGACTGCATGAGCAATGTCTGTTCTCGTGCACACCATCGCATACATGAGGCTACCAACTGCAGATGCATAAGGGACTTTAGCCATATCTCCATAGCTCCTCCAGACTCGGCGGCTGACTCGTCGTTATGGGAGGCTGGGCATTGACTTGGTCCTTTGTTGCACTTGCAAGCTTCATATTCAATAAATTACATCGAACTCCGACAAGTGCTTGTGAGGATCTTATCTTAACAAACGATTAAAATCAAATGGGCATCATCATCAATATGAAAGGAAAGTAATGCATAAAGGTTTTTGATTTAAATTAGATGCAGTTACCACCCTTAATGTGCGATTTATATCAGCCATGTCGAGTTTATTTACTTTCTTCCGATCACTCAAGCTAGCCCTCAAATCACTTGCAAAATCAACTGTTGACGGTGATCCAAGCGACTCAAATAGATGATTGTACTTCCTTACGTCTTTAGTTTTTTGCCACAATTGTCTCGTTGTCCTCTCGATTTCCTGGACAACACTAATAACAAGTAAGAATAAAAAAACAGTAACAAGTAAAAAGAAACAAAACCAAACATCAATCCCGATGCCAAACATTGTCATCTATTGAGTAGTGCAATAAAAACTTTCTACTTCCCTAATTAACAATAGTTAGTATAGCGATCAAAGTCATTTCCATAAGATTGTTTGCATTATTTTTTCACTTGATAGCAAATAAAATGGGGGAGTTAATTTTGAAGTGAAGTAAAAATTAAGAACTATAATAAAGTAAACTATGACAAGTGTCAACCCATGTATTTGATCAATGCCTAGCCCAATAATTGATTATAAAAGTAAACTTATGTATTTGATCGATAATTGTACTCCCTTCGTCTACTCAAAATCTTCTCATTTTCATATTTTAGTTTGTCCACTCAAATCTTCTCATTTCTTTTTCAGAAAAGTTACATCCTACATTAATACAAAAATACTTATACTTTATTATCACATCACTAAACAATAAGGGCAAAATTGTTTTACATACATGATTTGTACTACATTTCAATAAAATACTAATATACTTAAATTCGCATGCCAAAAGTAAATGAGAAGATTATTAGTGAGCAAAAGGACTATATTTATTCTATTAAATATTTTGATAAATTAATTATAGTGATCAAAAATTTTTTACCCCCCAACCTTTTTTACCGAATCTTTAATAAAGGAACGATCATAAATTAATTTTCTAATTCGATAAAAAAATCCAATGAGGGACTTGAATTTCTCAACTACAATAAGCTCTAGAAAAGTCCAATAATGACTATAACTAACATCTATGTAGGGTTATTTAAATCATGTAGTGAAATTCCTAAAATGAATGGTAAGTACCTTATTGTAAAAGATCAAGAAAGTAAACAAAACCACTTTTCACATAAATTTTATGTATGGAAACAAACATAAAAGAAATAACTAATCTAATTGAACAAAGAAATCCGACTAGGGACTTGAATTTCTCAATTACAATAAGCTCTAGAAAAGTCCAATAATGACTCACTAATATCTATGTAGGGTTATTTAAATTATGTAGTGAAATTCCTAAAATGAGTCCTAAGCACCTTATTGTAAAAGATCAAGAAAGTAAACAAAAACACTTTTCACATAAATTTTATGTATGCCAACAAACATAAAAGAAACAACCAATTAAAAATAAATCTTACAAATTCATAAGGTTCAAA